TTTGAATATTCCTTGGGAATTTTAAAATGATACAGTGCCCACCTGAGTCAACAAAGCTCAGTTTTTGACTGCAATTACTAAACGTTGTTATAAGGCATAATACTCTGACAGTTCCATGAAAGCAAATACACCCCTGATATTTCTCCCTTTCGCCAGGTTCATAAGTATAGGGAGTAAGGAAAAAAGCTTTCGATTAAACATAACTTTCTGATTTACTACATTTCCTGCCACAAGAGCAGAGAATAAATGAGCAATTATGACCATGGCCTCCAGTGTCCCTGTGGCTAATGACCTCAGTTTTCTAAACCTTTCTGGATAGAAACCCAAGTGGGGATGGGGAGAGAGAAAGTGACAGTTAAAAAGCAGCTAAGTGGTTTCTAACTCTCAAGTGTCAGAAACTTCAATACTGTATTTCTTTAGGCAGAATGTTCCTTTGTTCTTCAAAAGCCATCTAACTGAGCCTTTTAGTTATGCAAATGGAAAGCAAATACTCTCTTTGGAAATGGAGATGTGGCTCTGAAGGTGGAAAGCTCTTGTGTGAGTGAAGATGTAAAAGTTGTCATTTGGAGATTTCTAAGGAGAAAACGCCTCACCAAGGAGACTGACTCACCTTTTTGGATGAGTCTCTGGACGGCAGACAGGGGGTGGACACTGTAGATGGACATAAACTCTTCTCCTAAAACAGCATGCAAATCTGGCCGCTAAAGATAATGTTTTGGGGTTTAGGACATGACGTGTGGCCCAGAGTTGCCTGCTGTTTGAATTCAAAACCAGGTTCAGTCTTGCACAAAGTATCATTACTTTTATTGCTATAAGGTCTGCATTCTTCTTGTAGTTTAAGAATCACATTTTTTAAAAATCTCTACATTCTTCTTGGTTCTTATATTCACTCGTCCCACAAACATCGTTTTAGGCTTCTTTGGGGTCTTTGTTGTTTACTTCAACTTTTGTTTATATATTTATATGTAAGTATTTTATGTTCTATGTCTCATAATTGTGAGATCTGAAGTTTTAGGGAGCCACATCATTACTGACTGACTTTCTTTCATAATACAATGATTTCCGGGAATATCTGGGGATATTTCAATGGATGCACATATCTGGTTATCTGTAAGAAAATCTGAATGATTAAATTGATAATGTTGGATTCAAATATTCTTCGAATTCAATATTTTTTTTTTTTCCTAAAAATCGAGCGAGGGCCGCTGCTGACTTGGTAGAATCAGCCACTGTCATGGCTTTGTCAGGCAGCCCCAAGCTTAGTATCAATCCAGGAGGAGCTCCCAACTCACAACCTTTGTTTTGGTCCATTGCCTGCTTTTCTTCCTCTTCCCTTGGTCCCTTGGAGATTGCTTTAAGGCCTGGATCCCTCAACAAAATAATGATATTATTTCACGAAAATCTTGAAATTTTTAAGGGAGACTCTCAGGAGACCTGCTTTGCCGTGTAAATAGAAGAAAAGTCCACTTTTTTTTTCCTCATTGGTGAAATAATTATCTAGAATTTCTTCCATTTAGGTAGAGACACGTTTACAAAAAGCCCAAGATAAATGAATAGAATGGATATGTGTAACTTCCAGATCACTTGCTTAAAGACATATTATTAAGCTTGGCCTGCTTACCCTTCTAGTCCCAAAGACTTTGCCTGCTACAAGAAAAAAAAAAAAAAAAAAAAAAAAAAAAAGGAAGAAATGGAGTGTCAGGGAGCTATTCAAGGAAGGAAGCTTCCTCAGAGGAACTTACTGTTCATAATGACCTCTCTAGGTTGATAATGATCTCAGTCAGTAAGGAAACTTACCTGATCTCAATGTCACATGAAAAAGAAAACAATCCCCTCTTTTGTTTGAATCTCTGTATTCTTTGACCACCTAGACCAGCCACTTCTCATCCTAAATGTGTACTGCATGTTCAGGGGTAACAGGACTAAATACCCTAAAAACTCCAAGGCAAGAAAAATGTTAACTTCTACAAATTCTCTAATCTTGGAAGTGAAGACTGTAATTGAAATTGAAATAAAGAAATGAATACCTAGGGGAAAAAGAAAGAAAGCAGAGAGAAGGGGGCATAAAGAGTTTAAATGTGACAGAAAACTGAAAAAAAAAGTCTATCTTATCTTTGCCAATGGGGGGGGGGAGTTGTAATTACCCAGTAAGATAAAAGCTGTTGAATTTGTAGCAATGGAAATATTAAGACAAATTAAATACCAAGCTTATCTCTGCTCTGTGCTATCAATATTTTATACTAAACATCTGTTCCTTGTATCTCATCTCAGAAACGCTTCTACACTTTATCAGCACAAGCACAGCTTTTCAAAGAAAATTAAGCTAAACCGTTTTCACTTAATCACCAATTGATCACAACACGCAGAATGCCACATATTGATCTCTGAGAGCCCCATTTTTCCCAATTCAAAAAAAAAAAAAAAAAAGCATATTGGAGGAAGCACTTGATTTGCAATCAGAACAAACTGGTTAGGCTGACACTTCTGACATATTTTAAGTAGGAAGTATTTTAGTGATTAAAAAGATGCAACAATATGTATTTTCAGTGAGATGGAAATAGGCGATTTCCAACTTTTAGTTCAGACTCTTTTAGCGACAGACCATAGACACCCTCTAGGACCCTGCACGTTTGTCAAGGAGTACCAGGGAGAGGAACATTGTTTAATCTTCCAGGACACAATGGCATTCCTATCCAGCATGCCAGATCAGTAACGGAGAAACGGTCTTTCTTGCTGAAATTTGGTCAAAGCCATTACCAGCAGGTGGCCCTTGTGCAAATTTCCCTTCCACTCCAGGAACTATGGGTTTAAATGCCTGTGCGACTTAGGTGGTGAATAGAAATACGTGAGGAAAAATGGTTTAAAGAAAGATAATGTCCCATTCAGGAGACTGTTGTTGACTGCTCCATAGCATGTTAATGTTTTGTTTGTTTTGGTCTATAAAACAGTCTCATTAATTAAATAAATAAAGGCAAAAACTTCACACTATTTTTTGAGTCTTGGTATGTATGGGCCAGACAAAACGGTTTTGGATTTGATCCCTTATTGCTAAGTTTTAAAACTCTGTCCTAGTACCATGTAATCTATATATAACAAAAGAAAATAGGAACCAATAATGAGGAAGCAAGACAAGCCAGTGCTGCAGGCCGCCTAGACAGACTAAGCTCACCTCCCTGATTGCCTGGGACTACCCTAGAGGGAGTGCTGGAAATCCCAGGAAAGTCCTTGGACCTGGATACAAAAGAATACTTGTCCTCCCTCTTTAGATTCTCAAGTCAATGACTTTCCTTTTTGCTTGTTCTTTTTTTTTTTTTTTTTTTTTTCTCTAACTGAACTCTAATTACACATTTTTTTGTCCTGCCATGAGAATGCATAGTGTCTTTCTGGCTCTCCATTTTATGTAGCCTCTGAAGTGGCTGGTAATTGCACGATTTGTGGCATGGCTCACCAAGTTAGAGATAAGTTAGAAAAAAGGTTAAATGGGGGCCAGAAAGCAGATGATGGCAAGCACGAGGCCCTGAGCTTGAACAATAAATAAATAAATAAATCAGATGACTTTAACAATTATCTCTGGTATATAATTTCAGCTTGAGTTCTTCTCCAGTCACTTTCCTTAAAAAGACACATTTCAGGGAAATGTTTATGACCATTCTGCTTTTATACTTCCGAATTGTTTTAACTTGTGCAAACTTAAGCTGAAACAGTGTGAAACTTTGGTTTAATTTCTATTTGCACCCAGGCTGCACATTCAATAACATGCCTACCCATAGCAAGTTGGTATGAAGACAAACCTCAGAAGTTATGCAAATGCCAGCTATTGCCAGAGCAGAGAGGAGGACCTCAGGAAAAATAAAAGGGAGTGAGGGGGGTGGTGGAATAAGCCTTTCAGATTGTGAGGTTATAGATCTATTACTCATTTTACTCCAAGACCCAGGGAATCTGTCTGTGCTGAGAGTTCCAACCAACTTCAAAGGGAGACTTGTGATCACAGAAACTCAATGAAATAATGGAACAAGAATAAAATTGGCCCTGTGTGAATTAGATTGCAAAGGCAGGGACTTAGCTTCTTGTACCTAAGGAGCTAATGTTTAAATTAAAACTTTTATATACCCTCTACAGTTTTCTAAGAATCCAGATTTGGTAGCAATGACCATCCCAGAGAAACTAACAATGAAAGTATTATGCTGGGGTAAGACAAAGTAAACAATTTTTCCTTTACTTTTTTCAAATGATTGGCGTGCTCCCTCTCCTTGCTCACTCAGGTGCTCTGTCTCTGTCTGTCTGTCTGTCTCACATGCACCAGCCTGTGTGCTCTCTCTCTTGCTCTGTCTTTTCCCTAGAGCCAGCATAGAAGCGACAAATAGAGGATGCCTTTTTTTTTCCCTTTGGCCCTGAAGGGATCTAGCAAGACACTTTAGTATTTTTCTCTTTGTAAAATAAAGCCTGGCTTTGAAGCCAGGATCTCTGAAATGAGGCATTGCAAATGTCCTTTGATGAATCAGTCTGTGTGAAGGAGAGAGGAAGGAGGAGAGGGGAGCGGCAGATACACGGCAGTTAAGGATCTTCTCACACTATGCCATTTAAATCTTCTTAGGATGATCCTGGATAATCAAGAGGTCAATCATGAATTCATCGAGGGTCATTGTCTCAGGCCAGTCTCTGATTTGCAAAAGCCTTCCTTCCAGTAGGCTATTTTAAAAGCAGTCAGGCAGACTAAAGAGACTACAGGATGTGAGGGACACTAGAAAACACCAGCTTCAGCGAGCAAGCAGGGAGAACATTTCCAGTGAGGAGACATTCTCAGGATATGTGGAAACAACTTCATCCTGAACTCACTGAGTCATAAACAAATGGCATCTCCCATTTTTCAACTAGAGGAAAGGCATGCGAGTTACGCTGGGTACAATTTTTAAACTTCACTAAAGAAGACAAGAAGAGGATAGAAAACTCAGTTGCTGTTAAGTCACCTCAGACTTACAAGTTGTAACCTCTGTCTGCTGACACTCCAGTGGCAGTTCTTCAAGTTGTGCTAAATGTCCCCTTAGGGATTTTATGCCTCTCAGGGCCTTCTGTCTAAAAGAAAGAGAGAGAGAGGAAAAAAATATCAGTGTAAGGGCTAACAATGAATCGCATGCATTAAGAACCATAATGTCTGTGAAGTGCGCTCAGTGCAGAGCAGCTGCCTGCTGCCCTAGCAAAGCCTTGGTGGCTCCCACTCTGCCAGCCCGGAGAGCCGCAGCCTTTGCTTCTCCCCCTCCAACATCTCCACCCTGACTTCCCATGGCAGCCCCTTTTAAATTTTGGATGAGGTGTCAAATGAAATTTGACAGCTAACTGATAGGTTCAAATTCTCCCAGGGCAGTCTATCCCTGAAGACACAAAAAAACTAATTCACTGGCAGCCAGGCAAATTTTCTGCGATCCCTATCATTCCACATTCAGTTTGATGTGCAACCAACCGCTTTTTTCTGGTGGAACACAGTACCTCTCATTAGAAGGGCCGAGCTGGGACAAAGGACATTGATTTTAGCAGGACACCCTCCCCAAATTCTGTCATTTTCCAAAATTGATTTATTTATTGGTTAAATTGAAAACTGTCTCGGTTAGTAAAATCACTGACCCTAAGAGGGTTTCATGAAAAATGTTATTTTTTTATGTCATTCAGATGTCATTTTGTGAGTAGTCTTTCAATCAAATTAATCTTAATTCAAACTTGTTTAGCACTGAAAGAATTTTTTTTTAAATTGTCACCATATTGTGTAACTTAAATATAATTGTGTACGTATTCTCCTGTCAGTAAGACTGACCCTGTCTTTATCATTGAATCCACTGAAACTTGAAGCAAGTATATAGGCAGTGTTAATCCCAACTTCTTCTTAAGAACCATGAAAGAGGGCTGGGGATTTAGCTCAGCTGCATAAGTGCCTGCCTTGCAAAGCAGGCAGTCGTGAGTTTGATCCCTGGTACCGATAAAAACAAAAACAAAAAAACAAAAAAACAACAACAACAACAACAACAACAAAAAACAAAACAAAAAAAAAAAGAACCATGAAAGAATGGTAGAGTGGTTTGTTTTCAAATTTGACATTACCTTAAGTATCTGGACTTGTTATGACTGGTACCCTAGATGTTCCACCAAAACCTCACACCGCCATATGTGAGGCTTTTTGGATGTGGCTGGATCTAGGGTGTGTGATGCTGGGATTAAGGACAGTGCATGCTGGGTATAGGTGGCACCAACCAAACGGCAGCCTGGAAGGGACAAAAGATTGCTGCTACTTCTCTGCTTCCTTACTTCACTGCTTTGCCATCTTTTGCCTGCCCTGCCACACCCTGGACAATTTCTCCTCTGTGATGTCCCTCGGCCATGCCACTTGTCTTAGAACCAGCTGACTATGAACTGAAACCTCTACAAGCTGAGCTACAATAAACCTTTTCCCTAAATTTGGGAGTCAGGAATTTTGTCTTAAGAGTGAGGAAAGTATAAAATGAGGAGGAAGGCACAGTAGCCTTTCTTTAAAGTTTCACCTGCCATGGTTTCTGTTACCTGCAGCCAACTGTGCTCCAAAAAGTATTAAATTTTAAAAAAGAATTAAAAAAAAAACTTATTAAAAGTTTAAATTGTATACCATTTTGTCATCTGGGGTTTAGAGCCCTATTTTGCCTAGAAAATGAATCATTCCTTTGTCCAGAGTGTCTACACAGTACACAGTACCCACCAATCTCAGACATCAGGTAGGTTGTCCAAGTGACACCATGCTTTTGGGAAAATAATTCTTATTTTTACTCAAGGATGGTCCCAAAGCACAAGCATAGTGAGGGAGCTGCGAAGTGTTTTCTTTCAATATTATCACACATCGTCACAATAAACAGAAGGGTCAGTACATGACAGTACGACCTTCAGAGAGGGAAGAGGAGGGAGGGAGGAAGAATGGGCCTTTTCAGTTGATTTTTATCACAACATATATTTTTAATTGTTCTACTTTTCTGTTAGACATTGTTGCTAGTCTGTTACGGTGTCTAATTTATAAATTAAACTTTATCATAGGTACGCATGTGCAGGAATAAAACATAATACACATAGGGTTTGGTACTGTCCAGTTTTAGGCAATACTGAGGTCTTGCACATATTTTCAAAGATATGGTGGGAGGATCATAGTAGCAATACACAGACATTGAAAGAGTTCGTCCAGATAACAGTTGACACATAGTAAGAGCTCTTTAAGTGGTAGCCTAAGGGAAATAAATGTCAGTCTAATGGTGTTCCAGAAAATTGTGTTGCATCATAGGCACTAGGAAACTCGTATCCTATAAATTAAATTCTTTAAATATACCCTGGGATATAATGCTTCAGTATCCAGTAGGTCACTGTATTTCATTTGGGTCTCCCACTTACACTTTAATCCCCTGACATTATCCTGAAATGATTTCAGAGACTCTACTCTGAGTTTGTTGTCTGAGGCTCTTTCATGCTTAAAAGACTGAACACTTGCAAGCTGGTTCCTGGGTTTCCAAAATCCATTTCCTAAAATCTGTCTGTGAAAACAGTTGTGTTAGATAAACAGGGTCAGTCTCACAAAAGAGGAAAGATGGATTGAACCATGTATTTTACATTCTGGTTTTAAATAAAAATTGCTTATCTTTCTCTACTGTAAAGTTGTAATCTATGAAAAAATAGTTACAGTTGTATCTGGATAGTTCATAAAGTGAGTCAAGTGAGTCCTTTGACTCACTTTATGAACCAACGAAATATTTCAAAAGCAAGTTACATTGGCGGTCAAAGTATTAAAAGAATGAAAGCAAGGTGGAATCAGGGTTTTGCAATAGAAAAACACAAACATAACCATAGAAAAACATATACAAATGGTAATACTAAGAAATACTATTTAACTTGCTAAATGATCAACAAAATAATGTTGATAAAATTCAATAACTTAGGTCAATGTATTACAGTCTCTGTGGTGACAGTTTTATAATGATAGATTAATAAGTAATTATCGATCACCTATGTGAGCATACATTAGAAGCTATGGAACATATCAAAGAGCACAGTAGGTAAATTTCACTGATTTGAAGGAATTTATAATCTAGGGTAGAAACCAGGTAAATAGTAAATAAAGTATTTAATATTTTAAAAAGTGATCAATATTATTAAAAATACACTAGACAAAGAACATTTAACTGGAGACAAGAGGTTGAGTGAACAAATAGAGTGGTCAGATAGGTAATTAGGCAGAAGGTCAAATTAGAATAAATATTTCAAAGCAAGGCATTTACCATGCAGCTGCTGGGTAAGGAACTCCAGGTAGGGGAACACTCACCTGACAAGCATTAAGCTAAGAGTATCCCTAGTGTGAGACCGGGTGTGTGGGAGGTTTGCCAGTCAAATAGCCATTTAGACTATTCTAAGAATGGAAATTCATAAACAAATTAGCAAGCCACTAGCAGGGTGTTAAGTGGAGGAGTGACAGGCCTAGACTTGAATTTTAATGTACTTACTCTGTAAAAAGTTGGAGCAGAGTTGCAGACAAGCACTGAAGGAAGCTGCCAGATGTAATAATTTATATAGAGATATTGGTGATTGTGGCTAGAACATGGGATGAATAGAGCCTTGGAGGTCACTAGACATGGTTAGATTGCACCTGTAGTATGGAACAAGCAATAGGAAGAGATTTAAAGAATAGTATATGAAAGTGAGAGCAGGAGAAGAGTGAGTCAATGGGAAAGGCCCAGGGGAGAGTGGAGAGATGGGGAAGTTCTACTGGGGACATTGGCCATGATACACATGCACCTGAGCAGAGGGCAACCAGTTGCATGGATCTAACACTCAAGAGTACTATTTGTGATACATGTATGAATTCAATATTTGCCATCTATCAATAGTCTTGAGAGCTTTCAAACTGAATGAGATCATGAAAGAAGGAATATTAATGTAGGAAACAAAGTGAAAATGACTCACTGAAGTCATAAGACAAAGGGACGACAAAACTGCCTAGCAAAGAATATTGTAAGTAATCAACAAGACAGGAAAACCACAGACAAGTGTGTGTGTGTGTGTGTGTGTGTGTGTGTGTGTGTGTGTGTTTTGAGCTCATCACACTGAATGAGGTCACAAAGAGTAGAGAGAAATTGAGGAAAGAAGATACATATGAACCATGACAAGTACAGTGTTGTTAAGCTATTATGTTGAAATTCTTACCAGTATGAATTTAAGAAAGAATATAAAGAGAGAAAATGGTGGAGGCAGGCTGAGGCACCACTTCAGAGTCTGGATCAAATGAGAAGCACACCTACCAAAATTCTGGCATTGAGAAATGATTTCACTGCTGCTTCAATGTAACATAAATACTACCACTCGTGTTGGCAAGAGTGATCTAGCAGTGGGAATACCATGATCACTGCTAGAAAGATGTCCCTAAAAGTCCTAGAAACACTAGAACTGAACATAGAAGGAAGGACTGACTTTAAGATAAGACTTGGCAATAGATGGAAGACAGAGTTAAGGAGACAAATAAAGAAGGTTAGTGATGATGCAGGTAGAATATATGGAGATTTTCTCCTGATGGGTTTAGTTTTATAATGAAGGTAAGTGTTAGCTTCATCAGCTGGAAATGAGTGGAGCAACATGTTTGAGGATCTAGGAAAAAATCATTAAATCATTAAGTAGAAAAATGGGCCAATGATTATGCTGAGAAAGAAAGTATGACTGCCTGGAGCCATGATATTCTCAACTGCAGGTCTGGTTTATGAAACTAAAATGATACATTGAGAATGGCTATGTGTTCTTCTTTACAACATTTTAAACTTTATCACTCCACAAGTGGAGTGGTAAGTGGATAGGTTTCAGGGTTTACCAATTAGTGTAATGAAAGGGAGAGGATTGGAAGTGAAAATATTAGCAAGGAAGAAATAAGAATGATTGACCAGAGAAATAATATGTGTAAGGAGGACAGTAAGAGCACTGAAGGAGTCTTTCAAATGAGAATCTGAGAGTATTCAATGACTGTAGGTGCTAGTGGTGTTCAAGGCAGTCAATGTGTCTACAGAGAATGAGCCAGAAATACCAAAGGCAGG